GATCCGTGACTTAGAGTTCAAATCCTACTTCCAGCAAAGTTGGGATTGAATATGGCTGGTGGACGAGGACAAATAATCCACAAATGGTTACCCTAGTCTGCCCTAGCCTGTTCGGATCTCCGTCTTCTGCGTGACGCAAGAATACAACCGGTTTCACCAATGCGATTGGTTAACGCCTTTCTGTTATGATCTGTTGGTCACGTTCATTGATAATCACGCACGCTGTTGCGTCACCTGCTAATGAGATCGCGAGGCTTGATCAAAGGAACGCAGATCTATGCTTCGATCTATGCTGTTGCTTTCCGGGGGTTCGTCTCGCAAGCAATTCCCCATCTTCTTGTAGATTCACCTCAACATCCCTGTATATGTGCCCATCGCACTTCAGGCGACCCATCAGCTAGGCGGTGGCCTGTTGCTGGCAGTGGGGGAGAGAGTGAGGTCGACCTTCGGCGCGCTTCTTTCTTCACTATAATCAATCTGATGCGCTTGAAACTATCGCCGTGTGATAAATGCCGTGGCTTGGAGGGTTGCCAGCTGACGGGATAACTTGGGCACCGCAGTCGGTCCAGTGTGTCTTGTCGTGTGGTGTGGCTGTCTGCGGGCTGAGAGTCAGATTCAATGGCTCCTTCTCAATGTGGCTTTTATGGTGCTCCTTGTCGGGAGTCTACCTAGCGAGATGTGCTGTTGGTGCGCGTTTTGAGTGTTGGTCGCACCAGCCGTCTGCGCTCTCCCTCATTTTGGGCCTTCTTGACTCTGTCTTGACAACCGGGTTCCGGTATGGAAATGCTGAGAGAGTGGGGTGGGTTCTCCGCGAATCTACTTTCGCTGTATATCTTGCGGGAGTCACTGCGTTGCTTTAAATCGTTGAATTTCGTGGCGGACGTCGTCGGAATCGACGTTCGATCTGTCCTATGTGTGTTTATGTGTGTGTGAAGTTGAATTCTTCGCATACGGCCAGAGTGTGTGCGGCCAATTCTTGCAACCTCACCGTTTCCAAATAGCCCTTTGCGGTTTGTATTGTCCTTTTGGATATGGCCACTGCCGACGGGATCGGTGCTTCACGGTTCAGCCTCTATGCACATCTTTTTTATTGCGTCAGATGTCGAAGGCTGCCCAAAGCCTTGAAGGAGTGGCCAGCTTACGAAACCCTCCAAAAGACCATCGATGACTTCAATGAGACCTGTCCTCTGCTGGAGATGATGGCAAACAAGGCCATGATGGCCCGACACTGGGAACGTATCGAGAACCTGACCAAACACAAACTCGAAGTGGACTCTGAAAACTTCCTTCTTCGAAACCTTATGGAGGCTCCGTTGCTGCAGAACAAGGAGGATATCGAGGTGGGTTGATTTGACCTTTGCCTGCGGCCATTACCTTTTACGGCAATGGTTGCTTTTAGTTGTATTTCTCATGGCTGCAAAAGCGGCTCTAAAACAGACGCAAAATAGATCATGAAGACTCCCTCTTCCCCTGTCGAAATGCAAACATGTAATCAGAGATCATTTTGTGCTCACCGGAATGTGTTTCTTTGTTCGCTGACGTTTCGGACAGCTGGGCTGGGTGGGCTTTGTCAAAGCGTTAGCTGACTTTATCGATCAGCAATTCAAAGTTGTGGCTGTATATGTTGGCCGTGGGCTGATCGATTTTTATACGTTCGCTTCTTGGCCCTCCGTACGGAGTTTGGCATAACCTGATGGCAGTCGGTGTTTTGTTTCGTCCCCATGGTACAGGGTGCTCGTAATCCTGCTTCTCTTCCAGTCTTTTCGTCCCAGGGCCGTCTTTGTTTGCAAATCGTAAGTTCGGTTTGGCCTGATCCTGTCGTTTACTTACGTAATGGCGTAGGACTTTTTAGGTCACAGGGAGGTCTAGATGGCCGTTGACGGAGTTGGCGTCTAAGT